TTAGGCTAGATTTGACCCTGCTCCGTAGACATTGTATCAGCATCTTTTCCCTGTACACAATCGCAGGCTGTGAGAACTTATAAATGAAGAGATTGCTCTCACTCGCATGTTGTGCGCTAGTGATTATTCTTGAACTACAGGGCTCCTGAAAAGTAGGTTTATTGGCCACTTCCAGTAGGATGATGAGATTGACTCTTCATGAGCTTACTTCTATATAAGACAGGAAAATCAGTACAAATTGTGGAGAGCGCTGAAATGGCTTCCCTCGGTAGTGATACAAGCCTAGGGTGTCTTCCAAGCAAGTCACCATGGGCCGCAACTGCTTACTTACCGTCAAGTTTCTTCCTGCACTTTACGAGGAAGCCTTGGAAGCGTCCAAACTACAGCGCTGCTTCGAGCAGACCTTTCACTTGAACGATCTTTGAATTGCAGAATCCAGATGTTCCAAATCATGCGGGTCAGATGACCAGACATCTATCGACGATGGGCTGTCGCAGAATCCGGCAGTTCTTGTGGGATGAGCAAGTTCCTCGTTGTGCGGAAGAATGCAGGAATCTCCCTAATGTTGAAAACTGTTCATGGAAGAGGTGTATTATCCAGAAATTTCCCCTGGCTAATCTTGACTCTGACTTTAACGGGTCCTTCCGACGAAACAGGTGGTGGATTGTTCTCAGAAGTGATTTTCGTTCAAACCGCGACAGAATTTGTAACTGGGCTCCTGGCGTGCACGTGGCGTTGAAAAAATAGTCTACTAGCCGAATCTAACAAAATCTCGCCGTTTCGGAAACGGTGCTCTCTCCAATCTTTTCGTTCGTCTCCAGTCATTTGAAAGGCGGCTCCGCACGTCCGATTCGAAGAGATCCTGGTTTTTCCAACCTATACATCAGATCGGCTTCTGTGAGAGGATGTGATCGATAAACGCGAAAACCACTGATCATTTTACCCCTTTCTCGAAGGATCACGATAAGATTGGGTTCGGTTTGTAGTGGAAGTGGTTATGCTTGAAGCAACACCTCAGATCGAATTGTGGGGTAAAAGCGGTCGAAAATGAAACTGAGGGTGCCGAGTTGATTGCAAATGAAAAAAGAAACAAAGAAAACAACCGATGAAGCCCTTAAACGCCCGAGTACCGCCGAAAGGTACTTTTTCGCTGCATTCCAACGACTATAGCTCCTTTCAGGGGCGATTATATACTGAAGTAGGAGCAGATTCGAAATCCTCGTGCTTTTCTCTTTCCAAAAAGTGTAAAATTGTTTAGCGTTCTCAACTTTAAAGGTTACATGCTTATGAATTTGACGCTGAAGGCTGCGTTTCTTGTTGAATGGTGTACTCCTCCCTGTAATTTCACATGAACCCTTTCAGAATCCTTGATTTTTCCTGAATTGAGATTCTTATCAGAGAGCCGTAGCTGCGCGCGCAACCAACTGGGCCCACTCTGGGATGCGCCGTGTGCTTCACATCCCTTCGGATTTGAGCTCACTTGAAAGATAAAATATCCCTTGAAAACGCGCGAATTTCGACTTCGACTCACCAACTTGTGTGGTGATAAAACACTGAGGTGACCTTAAAAAAAACAAAAAAAATTTCTAAAAAAAAAGAATTGCAAAGCGGCGCACTCTAAATGCCGATATTTTGTCGTTGGCGCGGAATCCAATTGCAGTATTGAAATACTTGCCGTGCATTGACGGGCGACGATGTTTGCCTTCGACGATGAATTCTACTGCCCATCAATCTGTTCCGAGATCTCTTCTCAGCGGGGGCCAATGTAGCGACTCCGCCCCCCCCTTTCGACCTGTCGAGGATTCCTCAACGCACGCTTGACCCTGGCCGCAGCTCGAAAAAGTTTGGCAGCCCCAGGCGCTGAGCTAGCGCGCCTTCGGCCATGAAAACGCCACATCTCTTACCTCAGCCCCTGACCTCTGCTCTACCTGGTGCATGTGCTTCCAAGCTTCCAAAAACATTTTAGTGTAATCCCTAGCTTCAAGTAGGGTGGGCGTTCCTGCTTTCCTGCGTTCCTGCGTGTTTATAGTAGCATCGCTAGGCCGACCCCACCAAAACCACAAATTTGGGGTCTACTTTAATACTTAGCGCCGTCGCGGACAATGCGGGCGGTGCGGACCACATCGTACGCACTGTCCGCGACGTGCACAACGGCGCAAAGTATGAAAGCAGCTGATTTGAATGACTCGATTGTGAATTCACCACTGACTGTGAGGTGTTTTCTCGACGATCTTCGTTGAAGATTATTTGGGGTCTACTTCTATCAAGAGGATGCTCATTTTCTCGTTATCAGTCTCATTCTTGGTGTTTCTAAACCAGGAGAAATGCTCTTTTCTTCTCATATCTGCCTCCAAGTAAAGCGGCTAGCTTACAAAATGAAGCGGACTCCGTACTTGTATCAAAATCAGCAGGTAATAGCAATCTAGTGATATGCTGCACCTTTGAGATTGGTGATGTTTCATTCAAGTTTCTGCAGGTGCGAGAAACTGCCGTTTTTGTGAGTCTTTTCTCATGGTACAAGCCAAGCCTGCAGCATACCTCTTGCAGAAGCGGTCTCAAAGGCGAGCCCCGGGATGAGACCACTGGTGAACAGATCTGTTTGTGAACGTCACCGACTCGCCGTTGACACCTATTAAATGAGCGCGACATTGGCGCTAGGGTTTTTACCAATGCTCCGACTACCGGCCGTACCCGGTAGTTGTTTGGAGACCATTGCAACAGCTGCTTCTCTGCTCGCTCTCGTATGACGTGCTCTCACGCGTTTTCTGTTTTCTCTGCTCGCTCTGAATCTCCTTCGTGTGACACCTGATCTTACATAATATTCAAGCCCTTAATTTTAGTGTTCGATGCCTATTTTGCTTTCTTTATTACTTTTGGCTAACTTCGCGCCCGCCAGCTCCATTACTGAAACCTCTACACAAGTTTCATCCCAGGGCTTGCCTTTCAGTGTTATATGTTATTTGCAGCACCTTTAAGTTAGTTACTGTTTTGAAGAAACACCCGAGGGTGTCCCCCAAGAGGCCCATCGCGCGGCGAAGGAAGAGACGCAGACGCGGCAAAGGACGAGTCGCAGCGCGTGCTGTGCGATATGAGACGTAGTATGGTACACTCTATTTAACCTGACGCCTAACCGCTACAGTATGCGCTGCGACTCGTCCTTTGCCGCGTCTGCGTCTCTTCCTTCGCCGCGCGACGGGCCTCTTGGGGACACCCAACACCCGATAAAATTACGCTCACCTAAATAAAAAAGCGCTCAGAGAACTTTTGGTAATGATCCACGTCCTTCCTTCGATGGGGCAAAACGTCTTCTTTTTCACTTTTTCACTTCGAATTGTAATTGTAAGACGAAACCTCACTCGGTATCGGATAGTTGAGGTAGGCATGAAACTCAAGTGCACGTCACTTCCGGTGGCATGCCTAACCCAACTTTCCGATATCGACTGTATGTTAAACTCTTTGTTGTCTCACATATGATTTTGGGATTCTAACATGAAGACGTGTTAAGGGGATGGGCCTAAATAAAATTTATGACATTAGGTCGCGTTCATAGTTCGCGACACAGGAGATTGGGAAAGTACGCAAACAGTGAAAAAAGACGTGTATTGAGAGGGATATTAGGATAGTGCACTGACAAGGCTAGCAGATAGTATTGATTGAAATCCGAAGGGTAGTAAGTTATGTAAGTTAGTATCGAGATAGCAGGATAGTAGTTGAGTAGGAGATTAGGATAGCCCGTCAACAAGATTAGGCAGGTATTGATCGATTCGCCTCAAGACGCCTAATCTACTACACTCCAGCGATTCCAATCGATACTTATCCAATCTTGTCAACATAATGTCCTAGTCTACTGCTATCCTAATATCCTTCCTAATATTCTTCTTTGTAATCCAAAACTTCATGAAGAAGTCGCGAAGTATGAATGCGGCCTAAGGAAAATAGGAAATCAGGACACTATAGTTCCTTCTAGTCGAGCCAATCGATAGGCTTCCAAGCTTTTCAGCGCAATCTCCTTCTCCTGAAGTGCTTATCTTATAATTTCTCAATCGGAAAAGAACTTGTTTGGTGAGAAACAAGCAAAGGTATTCACTCTTCTACCCTGCATTTCTTCAATTTTTAGAGTTTAGAGGCTGTGAAGGAAAAATAGTTTTCAGAAAGGAGCCAAAAGCGTTGGGTACGCTTTCAGAGTCAGAGACAATGTTTCGAAAGTGGTTTATCCTTTTGGTGAGTGAAAGATACCTTCAAAGGAATTATTGGGCAATTTGACGATGATGACGCATTTTTGGGTCTATTCCCAAAATGGGTTTCTTCCAGTTTATAGGGGGGCATCATGGTGCGGTGACTCCCAAAAAGCTACGGTAACTCTGAGCCAGGGGGAGTGTAGCCAGCCTAGGGGGGGGGGGGAGGGCAGTCACTTGACATGCGTGAGAAGCTGGAATGTTCGAGTTTACATTAGCTCGCCGAGAAACTGCATCATGATGCCCCCCCCCCTAACTGGAATAGACCCCATTTTTATTCAAAAGAGATTGCCCCTCAACCGCCGGGACGTTGCTCCCTGCCATAAGCTTCACGACTTCCGCTGTGGTCTTTCCACGTGTGTATAACAGAAATATAGCCGCTGCGGGTGCTATCACAATCACGACATCACGTTAAATAATACATCAACATGAATATAGACCTTAATCTTAAAGGCGGTTGTTCTCCCTCACTCTCGCCTCCCCCACCTTACCCTTTCCCTCCGACTCATGGCAACGCTGTCTCTCTCTCCTTCCCTCCCTTCCAGCCCCCCTTTCTTCCCTTCCCCTTTACTCTACCCTCCCCCATCGGCTGCCACGCCGGCACACTGAAATAGAATAGGGCCGAGGTGTCGATCGATGTTTTATACAGAGCGGCGGGGGGGGGCGCAAAAAAAAGAAGTTCACTTGTCATTCACATCAAAGCAGAATCAAGCGCAGAATTAATATACACTTTCCAGAACCAACCGGCATGGGCCTCAATTGGTCTGCAAGAGAGCACATTCTATTCTATCAAAAACATTGCATAGGGGCTTCTAGAACCGACGACACCAGAAGATTTTCCCACGGAAACATGGTTCGCGGTACGAGCTCAACGGGGTCGTCGAGAAACCATAGATGATTACGACGTCTCTGAAACGCTGGTCAAAAGCCATTTTGCATAGTCAGAGCTAGTGTCCTAAGAAGCATTCACCAGTCATTCGATTGAGAAATTTATGTAGCAGCTCCAGAATGGAGCGATTATGGTAGGCCTCCTTGAGCTCGACGGTGATGACAGATGACGTCATATTCTGGAGACGGTGAACGCAGCGAAGGTGGGCCTGATTCTGCTTATGGGGGGACATCTAAGGAATATTTTGCCGTATAACTCCCAATAACAGCGGCATCCTTTGCGACGAAAACTTTGATGATATGCGCCATAGGCAAAGTGACTCTTTTTTTGGCCCCCTGTTGTAGCCATAGATGTTGTCATAATCATGACATCAACATCGCGAAGTCTTGCCATTCTTAGTACTTCTCAGTTGTTGCGGTTGGTCCGGACGAACAGAACGACACACACACCGACAAACCGACACACCAAAGTTCTGGTTTATATAATACCAGATTAGTCCCCCGTCAACCGCCGGGACCTTCCTTTCCTGCGCAAGCTTTCTATCCTCCGCTATGGTCCCTTCCTCCTGTGACACCAACTCCTGGAAGTGACGCGTATGCAACACAATGGTGTTTCATACAGTAGAAGGGACACAATCATGATATGACGGTAGATTTTTCGCTTCCCTTCCTCATCCTCCCTTCCTCTCTCCACTGCCCTCCAGCTGCCACTGCAGCACCATGTGGAATGAACGGAAGTGTGCTAAGCAGGTGTTTATATAGCCCTAAGAGTGTTATCACAACTATCCTGCTACAAAACATTGATATCTCAAATCCTGTAAGCTACCCGATTTGTTAGCGGTTTGTTTATCCCATGAGCTTCCTTCTCACTCACTTCATTTTGCGGACGGACACACATACATACACACACACACACACACGCACACACACACATACAGATACACAAACCGACACACAAAGTTAGCGCTTTATAAAATAGAAGGATGAAAATAGCTTACATTTTGTTGTTCATTACAGGTAATTTCGACGGGTGTGTACAGTCCTTCTTCCAATGTCACTGACATATATGCTGAAAGGAAGGATGGTCAGAATGATACTGAAATAAACGTGGAAATTGAGGATGGCCGGAATGTTACTGACATTAACGTTGAAAGCGAGGATGATGAGAATGTTGCTGACATAAACGTTGAAAGGAACGATGGTCGGGAGCCATTTGGAAGTGAGTCTCAATTATTTGGTGGAACTAAGCATAAATGTTTATGATGTAGGATGTTGATGTCTTCATTCCGGCACACACATGCGCTATGTCGCAACTCGAAATTGCGCGACAAGCAGAGTGATCTGATGGCGACAAGGGTGAACTTTGCGGCCGAGATACCTCGCGCCCGCCCTCACGCACGTGAATTACGCCGTAACTGATAAGACAGTCGATAGGTAGATAGATATGGTAGCTTCATCGCATTGATGTGGTTGTGTTTGGGAAACTCCTCTAGACACGCCCTTCTAGCATCACTATCAAGCTCTGCTATAGCCACCGTATCTAAGTTGATTGGGGTTTCTAAAAGTCACGCATTAGATAGGGACAGAAGTTAATCTTCTATAAGTGGAAGAGACCACGGTCCGTGCTTAGGCGTCGTGACACTGCCGTGACTCAAGGCGTGAAGACAGTGCCTAGGCCGAGCCGTCTGGACACCTAAACGTTCACTCAGCCGTAGAACGACCGAGCACGTCGTTCGACGAGGGCGCCAGGAAGCATAGATACTGCCATTGGATTAGGTGATGGCGAAGCAAAGGCCAGCGAATCGCTCGATTGGCTGTTACCACAAGGCGACCGTGGAATCGCTCGACTCGCAAAGTCTGGCATCGGCCTAAGCTCTTGCTGACATCCTTATCAATCGCGATATACATGGCGTCTGCGCCCTCTCGCGTATGACGTACTCTCTCCCGCTTTTTCCCTTTCCACGCAGCGCTGGGTCTCTAAGTCATACAACCGCCGAGCTCACAAGGGAAATCTCATGTTTTTTACGGCGCTCATTACTTTTTCTGTCCCCCTACTCCTCATCGCACATCTTGTCTAATTTTCTAACAAAACAACGTACCAGTTCGACTCACCTCGTGCCTTCAACTCATCATTCCTGGCATAAAAGCCGATGAACGCGTGGAGTCCCTGGTGCTCAATGCTCTTTCGCTTGCAGTTTGTTTTCTCGCCTAGCGTCCGCTGTCTCTCGGCCTATCGCTATCGTAAACTCGTTGAACGTCCAAAAAATCAAGGCTGTTACTTGCACCATTTTGGCGCTTTGTGTGCTTCTCAGAAGGCGCTTCATTCCGTACCTGTACCTCCTTTTTGCTTTTCTTCATTTGTTTTTTCATTTTTCAACTTATCTTGGTCCATTAGATGATGCAGGTCTGCCCTACCACGCGCAAGCCCAGATTTTCAGGCAGCTAATTTGCTGGCTATGGCCGACTTTGTAAAAAAAATTAAGTGAAAAATTAGCTTTCAGAAGCCGCGCCGTATTGTACAGATCAATGCAAGGAAAAAGACTGCCTGGAACAGTGCACCTTTGATGAAGAGACAAGATGCGATGCAGTTTTTTGCAGCAGCTACAATGAAACTGATTGAAAAAAAATAAATTATTGTCGAATTTAAGAATGTATAATAAATAATAAATATTAATGAATGAATATAAATAAATAATCGTAATAAATGAGAAATAGTAATAAATAAATTCACGCCCTGTCATTAAAAGCTGCGAGATGAACACAGGTGTATTTCTCGAAAAGTTGTTCCGTTTTGCTCCCAGTAGGCCGTGAGATCTCAGATCTGCAGCTCGCGCACTATTGGTTTATAGGGTGGGGCAAAATTATTTGTGCATAACATTTCGTTTCGGCACCACTTTGAGGTTAGTATTTTGAAATCGATTCTAACAATGATCTGCTTCACAAGGCTGTGGTTGTGGGCAAAAACGCTTTAAAGACAGAAAGCGGCTCGAACCTCATCCGCTGCCTCCCGACAGGGTTACAAGTTAACTCCTGCGCACCTTTTCTTTGTACTTCAACAAGAATTAAAGCCGTCTCAACACGGGTGAGCGCTGAAGGTCAATGCCATTGAGAGAGAATTACAAAAAAATGTTGAAGCAGTGCGCGCATAACGGCGGTCGTCAAATCCAGCGTTCTTACGAATAACTGTGATAGCGATTATCGTTAGCTAAAAGGATAAGGATAAAGGATAAAGCATTTGCCGTTGATCAATCCCTTTTTGGGATGCGGCACGCATTCTACTTCCATTTGTACATTCGTAGTGGCGTTTGAATGCGATGTGGCCTATACAATGACTTGCGGGGCCAGCCGATGTACAAGTCAGTGTTTTTATCCTCCCAGACAAGTCTGGTACCAATTAACCGACCCCGGAGGGATGGAAGGCTTGGTTGGCCCGGGCGACTCACGACCCAGGATTTGATCCCCGGACCGCTCGCGTGGTAAGCGTGCCACTTGCCACTACACCACTTCCGCCCTTGTTCAAAAAGAGCAGGTAAAAAAAAAAAAAAACAATAAAGAGTTCACCACAAAGGTGGTAGATAATTCAGAAAAGTGTAGCAATTTTGAAACAGTCGCAATAAGATTAGGCCTTTACAAGTGTTCAACAAACGCTGCGCATGCGGAACGTGGGCAGTGATCATCAGATTCAGAGGAATTTAAAAAAGCTGGTCCTGTAAGAATTCACATCTCAGTGTCTGGTAGAAAAGATAAACACTCACTGATGCTGTTGACAAGGAGACGTTGCAGGAAAAACAGGCCTCATGTCATCTCCCTCCACGGTTCGAGGTGAAGACAGAGATCAACAAAGGGCCTCATCCGTTTTCGTCAAGGCCGTCGTAGAAGAGGTTTACAAAAATATCTTGATCAATATTTCTAATAGTAGGCTGAGCTGTCCTCCGAAAAGGCTTGCTGGTGCGTCAGCAAGCAGGGTCAACCGTTACGTTGGACCGATATTGGAGCGACGTTGGACCGATGTTGACCGCTCTCCGCGCCGGCATTCACTCTCGCCACCCGCGAGCCGTCTGTGTCTCCGTGCGTACGTTCACTCTCGGCTCCAACGGACGCTTGACCCTGTCAGCAAGTGTTCGCTGCAGTAAACAAGGTGGTAATGGCTAAGAAATGAAGTACAAAGACTAACACCAAGCCATTCGACGAATTTCTATGTGTGGGCTGTCTTGTTGAGCAAAGATTTCTCTATTTAGCAATCATGCTCGGACTCTAAGAAATCAGTGCCAATGATGCTTTGGAAAAAAATTGTCAATATTTTTCTGCGTGCTGCATGCAGAGCATTCGTCAAATATCAGAAGAACTGTGGGAAACCGTTCATGGTCAGAATTCATTTTTAAAATAGCGATGTCAAAATGGCCCTGAATAAAGGTGCACCAGAAAATCTGTCCAACCCTGTACATACATGTGCTTTCCGAGGATGTCTGAATGTGAAAATATTTATTTTGCAGTATCACCTGCAGTACTATTGATCATCAAGTCCTTCTAACGGAAAGAGGAAGGATAATAAAATAGGAATGCCTCCGCTTACCTTAGAAGGCGCCATTCTCTGAATACCACCTTCTCTAACTAATATGAACGGTTTGTTAACAGCCTTCTTGGGAATAATATTTCATGAGCAGGCTAGCACTCTAAAAAAATTAAGGTGAATTCATTGTGGTAACTTTTTGTTAGGGCGGAAGTGGTGTAGTGGCAAGTGGCACGTTTACCACGCGCGCGGTCC